GCGTATATCCAGGATTCGTCACTTGATACGATGTTGTTGAGGTTCCTGCGTGGAATCCTTCGAGTTCTGACGCACCAAGTAACGTGAGCCGCTTTTTGCTCTTCACAGAGCGAATGCGGTATCCATCGGGAAAACAACTTTTTACAAATAATTGTTCATGCAAGATTATTTGTATTTGACTCATGCCAATGTCTAAAGTTGCCTGAATTTCGCGGTATGTCACATGTCGATCTTCCTCAATCAGCTTACGCACAGCATCAACGTTTTCTTGGGTGACTGCAGTTTTTGGACGACCTTGACGGGGATCACCACTGAGCTTGACACGTCCACGTTGAAATTCAGCAAACCAGCGAAAAATTGTGGTTTTGGATGGGGCTTCATCACCAAATGCAGAAATCATCCGGTCAACACACTGTTTTTGTGTTAAACCACTTCGAAAGTCATAATAAATCATCGCTCTTGAATTTTCTCGAGTCAATTCCATTTTCTCAACGACTAAACAAGTTTGACAAAACCTTGAGACAAGACCGAGAATCTTTTTTTAGATATATAAATGGTATTCGATTTTTAAAACCAAGGAGTTTTCAATTATAAAGATTTTAATATGACAGCAACAGTGGAAATATTCTGTTCCCGATACTTTTAGTGCAGCCTATGTATCAGCTGATTTCAAGTATTTATGTTTCACTGCTGGTTTTATGTTTAGGTATTTTCATGATTTTTTTATGAATTTACCGTTTCATTTAGCTATACTAACATGACAGAGCGTGAATAATGCTAATTAAATGTTGTAAAAAATTACTTTATTTGCATCGGGATCGATTTTATTTTTGTCTCATCATCAAAGCTATCCTTAATATTATCGTCTATTTTCGATTTTGCAAGCGTTTCAAAAATACCCTGCTCTTCAGACTGGCACACAGCAGTGCTGTTTGACGACAGAAATAGGTAACAGGAAGATGGAAGAGTCCATATGGGTTAAGAAATTGGCAAAGATGTAAGTATATCATTAATTCCTATGAAGTTAATACATCTTAGTGTTATATACTGGCTGCATTTATACAGGGTCAAAACATTTATAAATATATTTATACATAGGTAAAATAAAATGTCTAACAATGCTCATTATGATGTCCCATGTATGCTTATCTTTTAAATAATTATTTAATTTGTTATTTTCCTTATCCATGCGAGTGCTTTTTACATGCAATTAGAATTTAGACAAAGGCAAATCAGTACATTGCACATGAAGTCCTCTTTATTTTGTGTCCATGGGCTACAGTAACCACTTGCCATTAGGTAAATTGTACCTCAATTTAATATCACAAAATGTGTACATATCTTACCTGTTTCATGACTCCAGTTTACTTCAAATTTGAAATTCTCATTTTTGATTGTCTCTTCCTCAACTTTAACAGAGTCAAGGCTACAAATGTCGCCCTTACAATTATTTTCTAAATCACACTCTACTGGCCGGATATCTATATGATTAATTGGTGTGAATTGAATCTCATCTCTAGCCTCATGTGGTTTTGGTATTGACTGAAACCAAACTTTTTATACATAAGAGAAGCCAGTGTAGTAGTGGCGTAAAAGAATCCATACTACCCATAGTATCCCGCAGATGCATCTTCCTGACAACAACTTCAAATAATAACAAAAATCGAACAAAAGTGAGTTCCGAATAAATTTAAATAAAAATGTAGATAGTTTAGAAATTAATTAGAATCGAGACTCAACAATTTTTCCATTCAGATTCACAAATACAATAAATGGACAAAAGTTTACTAATAATATTTATCACCTATAGATAATATTTCGTTTATATACAATAGAGAAATACATAACAGTATAGTTTGATAATTATTTTTGTAAAAATAAGTACTTCACTTACTGTAATTCATAAAATATAGAACATTGTTCCTACAATAAAGTAAGCTGAATTGAAGGACATAAGGTTTTATTCATAAAACAGTACATATACAATGGTAAACTTCTTCTTTGGAACGCGAAATGCGTCCGTATCAGAAATAAGCCCCTCTTCCATATCATAAAATTTACAAAAGCATATACTAAATTTAACGCTGAGCGTAAACAACATATTTATTTTGAAAGCAGAAAAAGTGTTTGAAGAGTGCGCGTGTGTGTGCGTGGGCGTGCGTGAGGGCGTGCGTGCGTGCGTGCGTGCGTGCGTGCGTGCTGTGTGCATGTGTGTGTGTCTGTGTGTGTGTGTGTGTGTGTGCAGTGAACGTGTAGTGTGTGTATGTGTAGTGTGTGTGTAATATTCTCCTTGAGCACATCTCAAATCCCACAATTTTCTAACTCTAACAGAATGGAGGTAAATCATGTCAAATGCCTTTTTAAGATCAAGAAACACCGCGAGGCAATATGAATTTTATAAAGACTATCAACAACTACAGATGTAAGGGCTTCTACAGCATCTTCAGTCGAACTTCCTGCTTGAAAGCCAAACTTTATAAGATGTGAAACTTAGTGAGGAAACTTATGAGCCTCTTTAAGTTTCTCTAAGTTTTTCTATAGCTCTTGAATATCTATAGCTTTTTATCGAAATTGGTCTGTAGTTGTTGATATCCTTGTCATCTTCACTCTTGTGAACAGGTGTTACTAGAGACTCCTTGAACAAATACAGAAATATACCGTTCTACTATATTAAAATAACGTGTAGTATAGTATGACACATGATTTGTGATAGCTGGTATAGATTTGTGATCATTAAGATGCCTGCCAAGTGATAATTAAGGCAAATATTTCATTAAAATGGGAATGACCCATCAAGCAGTGAACTTTTATTCATCAGAAAAGTATTATTCCGCAGGCATTGTAGTGATGGTTTAAGGATATCCACTACCCTATATACCTACCCACGGGACGGATATCATAAGAGGCAACAGAGGACAACAGAAACAGGAGTTGGGCAACAGCATCTTCCTGATAAAAACTCAGACTAATATATACTGCATTCCTGACCTGCCAAGCATGGCAAATTTGGCAAAATCCCTCCTATTAAGCAATCTGTGACAGACTTTTATAGATTTTAATGGATGGAATGGATAATACCATGGACCCTCCTGCAAGCAACTGCACCAGAACTGCATTTGACTCAATAGCCTGTTGTTGTAACATTCTGCATCTAATGAGTCTTGCATGACAGATGAGACAGACAATTATGGGCTCCTCGTCTTCATCCACCTGAAAATATGAAAGTTTGTCATAAATATGGAAAACTATTTAAATATACAATTTTGTAATAAAATATACTGGCCACCACAACTCTCTTCTTCAACATCATTTTGTTTTAACATTGAAGTAACAAATAAACTTACAACCCACCTGATGGTAAGTGGCTACCACAGCCCATAAGCACCAAACAAACAAACAAACAACAACAAACTTCAAGCAAAGGCTACAGATGCGATGTTACCCTGAGTATTAAGATGTAATGCTTCATAAATAAAAAAAATAAAAAGGTTTATTTGACATAAAAAATACAATGTTAAAATTTAAATATGCAGCTCAATAATTAGTTGTGAAAAAACGGTCTGTGATTCAGTTGTAACAGGAAACCCATTACTCCTGCTATTCTGCCACAGCCTTTGCGCATTATTCATACAGGGTCTTAGGCAATTGATGAATCACACATATCAATGATAAATAAATAAAAATAAAACAATTAATAAATTATAGTTGCTAAAATACATAAAAAAATGTTATCTAATTTGAAGGAGTATCAAAGCCACATAGAGCCAGGGACTGTTTTTGAATAAGCCACTTGGGGCATCTTTATCGGAAGGTAGACGGAAATAGGGTAGACCCGACTGGTGGTGGCAAGTCGTTCCAAATTTTAGCAGCAGCAAATTTAAAACATCCCCTGGCTCCAGTGATTCTAATCCTGGGTAGTGGAAGGCTATGACAATTTTCTCTGACTGAATGAAAACTTTTTTTTTCGACGGCTATCTTATCATACAAATATCTTGGAGACTGCGTGATGCAGTGTGCAGAAAGCAGGCATATTTTAACTTGGTACTATTGAATATATTTAAAATGCCATTACTGACTAAATAAGGTGAAATCCTAACCCTTTTCAGTATATTAAAACAAAAACAGATACATGCATTCTAAACTTTCTTTACATTCTTCTCAATTTTTTTTAAATAGGCTTGGATCATAAACAATAACGCAATAATGAAGGTGGCATAGTACAAAACTATTACAAAGCAGCAGTCTTATGTCACGTTAACTGTTAGATCCAATAGAACACTGCAATTTAGGTAAATATGTGTATTGTGCTTGGTAGCAAAACTAATGACAAACTGGTTGACTTAACTAACATTATTTCTTAACTTATTTCGCCCCACATTCATAACGATTTATCACAATCTATGATATATAACAATAACATAAGCTTTTATTAATGTAAAGTTAAACCAAGTGAACACAAAAAGAAAATAAACAAATAAATAGAAGATATGACTAAACTAGGTTAACACAATGCAGGACGCACTGCATTAGCAGTAGATTTTTCGATGATTGAAAATGACAGTAGGCATCACCATAAAAGTTTTAATTCTTTCGGACTAACGTACGGTAAGCGCAGTGAAGTTTCGTATAGAGGAACAAGGAAAACCGTTTTTACTGTCGTATCACATCAATTTCTCATTTGTTCAGAAGCATTAGAACTCATAAAATCAATACACTACGGTCATACCCGTGGTTAGTCTATATTTTATAAAGATTCTATGCAACAGTTTGAGTAGTGTCGCGCCACGCGCCGATTGGGCACGGTGTGTTCGTCGATTTTCGCGCCATTTTTTCTTGCCTAAATTTATGAACTAACGTGAGTATTTTGATTGTTATTTGTACTAAAAACGGTTTGTTAGATTAGATCACTGAGATTAGCAAACAAGAATGTGTAAACTGATAAATCTATTGCAAAGGTGCCTATACGGATGTGTAACATGAATGATCATATTTTGTTTTAGATGGATACAGATAGCATCAGTCGTCTTCTGGAAGATGTTTCAACGCCGGAAACCAGTGATATCGAAGACCCGTACCACGATCACGAGGGAGAGCATGGTTCTGACGAAGATTATCGTCCATTTGCTCAGTCAGAATCTTCCGAGGATGAAATCGGGTTCAATTGAATCTCAGCACGCCATCTTTCTTATTCTTTGGCTAGCAACAACAGTAATGCACCGGTAAGTCCATCTCTGCTAACTCAAGAAGATATAACTGCAGTTAATACCGCACTTCAGTATCCGGAGGTGGAACAGCCTGGTGCACAAACAGCTAGTGATAATTTGCTGCCTAACGACATGGATATTTTTCTTCAGTCTTCGGAGGTGGAACAGCCTGGTGCACAAACAGCTAGTGATAATTTGCTGCCTAACGACATGGATGTTTTTCTTCAGTCTTCGGAGGTGGAACAGCCTGGTGCACAAACAGCTAGTGATAATTTGCTGCCTAACGACATGGATGTTTTTCTTCAGTCTTCGGAGGTGGAACAGCCTGGTGCTAAAACAGTTAGTGATAATTTGCTGCCTAACGACATGGATGTTTACTTCAGTCTTCGGAGATGGAACAGCCTGGTGCACAAACAGCTAGTGATAATTTGCTGCCTAACGACATGGATGTTTTTCTTCAGTCTTTGGAGGTGGAACAGCCTGGTGCTCAGCTCAGACTCAGCTCCTCCCCATTTAAAATTACATTAGTATTAACATGTTTAAGAAAATTGTCCATAGATGAATCTCTTATTCTATTTCGGGGTAGAATATACTTTAGACAATACATAAAATCAAAAAAGCAAGGTATGGTATAAAATTTTATGTCCTCACAACTACTGACCGTTATGTCCTTGATATGATGATGTACCATGGTAAAGATAACTTAGAAACAGGAAAGAAAACTCAAAATATCGTGCTGAAACTGTTGGAATCATATTTGTTCAAAGGTCATCATGGTTTCGCAAAAGCCAAATTTATGTTTCGATGTGGAGAGATAAAAGACCGGTTTTTACAATTTCTACCCGGGATCACCCAAAGCTAGCACAAGTGTCAAACCGATATGGCAAAGTAGCAACTAAACCCGCTGAAGTAGCTGCTTAAAACTATTTTATAGGGGGGGGGGGTAGATAGAGTCGATCAGATGATCTCATATTATTCATCCCCCCGTAAAAGTCTAAGATTGTATAAAAGGGTTACTTTTCATTGCCTCGACATAGCTGTCTAGAACACATATTATTTGTATAAAAATATGTGAAAAAGAATGGTAAATATAAGTCCATTAAATTCAGACATCAATTGATAAAAGAAATGTGTCAAATTTCTGATAATGTAAAGAGTCCAGATGTGGTAAGAAAAGATAGTGTGTACAACAGCCGAAGATTTAGGCAAAATGTTATGGAAGAATGTAGCATCACAGCAATGAAAGGTCACTGGCCAGTCGTGATGCCACTTCCAACGAACTCTTATGGCAGTAAAAGAAAATTCAAATTTTTGAATTGCAAATTATGCACTAAAATAAATAACAAAAAGAAACTAAATACATCTGCAAGGGATGTGTGAAAAGAACACCTTTGTGCCTGGAATGTTTCGAAGATTGGCACATTTTGCATGCAAGTAATCAGCAGGAAGACTAAGTTTTGGGTAAATTATTATCTATTTACTTAGAGGCTGACTAGAGGTTTCCTTAGAATTGGTGTTTTGTTACTGAATTATTGTACTTTTGTTTTTATGCTATAGTTTTATATATAGTAGGGATAATTTCCATGAAAAATGACTGTTTCCGAGTATTTCATTATGTGATACAATAAATTATAAGTTTTCTTATATATTTTGGTTTTATTTTGAAAATAACATTTATATACAGCAATATATTTCTATACAGCAATAGCCGTAGCATCATATTTTGAACCCGTCAAATATTTATAAAATACGGTACGGCTATAGCAGATTAGGGTAACAAACATACAATTAGTAACATACCAGGCATGCATAATAATATAACACTATGGCTGTAGCCGGCTTACGGCTGTGACAGTACTGTCTATGTTTATTATTCTTTAGTATTGCTTTAGTTGAGTTTTATTGAACTTATTAACGGCTTCAAGGCTAAGATCAGGAATACGCAGCGACATCAGTGTCACTAATACGGAACGGAGCCTGCTCCAAAATTAATTCATCTTAGCCACACGTAACTAGGAGTCATTTACAATTATCAAATAGCAGATCTGAACTTACTACTTTCTTGAATTTAAGCTCCACATCCTTCTATTAGACAACTGTCACTTTGTTTCAAATGGAGGTTAATAACAATATACATCGCCTAGCAGTTTAAACCTTTTTAATTTAATATCAATTGGAGTATGAAGTGAGTTTGAGGTGGGTTCGGTCGACTAACAATGAGATTATTTAATCTATAAGGACTGCACTATAATTGCAGTACAACTGCAGTATGAAGGGCAGCGGCATTTTCCTCATAATAGACCCGCGGGCTCTAACGTGTGTTGCAAACAATTAAGTCTCGGTATCTCTTCTAATACGTAGCAGGAAATCAGGCTAATTGTTGTTTTTCAGGTTCTGGTTGCATTTGTCTGGTAGCACTATATTTAACGCTGCACCTTAGCCTAGCTCTGATCTATCGCATTTTATATCAGGGAAGTTATGATGTATTTCTCCGTCGACAACAACAAATTACAATTTGCAATATTAAAAAATGTTAACAACTTACCAAACAGTTCGTCAATATTTTGTACAAGTTTCGGAGACTAGTCTTCTTTAGTACACATAAGCGTACATTAACGCGTAAACAAATTCTACAAACTTCACTAAAGGCCATTCCTGTTTCCTATAGCTTTAATATAGTTAAATTCACTTTTTTATCAATAAACCGGAGTTTTTACAAATATAAAATGCAGACATCAGACGTGCAGCATATTACATTGCAGTATAGGCATGTCGATCTTAAATCGATTAATCGAAAAATCGATTCTTTGGCATAAAATAATCGATCTTTTAGATCGATTCCAAGCACCGCATCGATTCACTGAATCGATCCAAAAACCTCTCGAATCGGACTGATTCATCTGATTCAAGAACTAGCGATAAAATTCCCAAACTGGCTGGGGTCAGATACCGCAGTTTTTTAATTTTTTGCTGTTGGGGGACGCAAAAACAACCGGTCGTACTTGGTTGATAATTTGAACTCAATATATATTTGAATAAAATAAATATTTATGAACGCATCCAACAATATCGAAAAGTTGTCATTTCATTTTCATTTCTAAAATTCTAATTCCAATCTTACCTGTGGAATGTTGGTCTAACTTAATCTGTGCTGTGAACAAAGAATACATATACATACTACAATAAAATATTATAGCTGTGAAACTGTTTGAACTGTGAACTTGTGAATTTACATTATTTATTATCAAAAACATACATACTGTGAGCTGTAAGTACAGACAGAGTAATTTTTAATACCTAGATAATGTAAACAAATATTATACCGTACGTTGAAGTTTATAGAGGTTTATAGTAAGGAAATAACCAGTATTGTGTTCGTGTAACATTCACTTCAATTTGATAAATAGTTTGAACTTTTGTTAAAATATTGTTGTTGTTTCTAGCTTAAAATTTCAAATAAAAGTGATACACGGAATCACTTTGTAAAAAAAAGGATCGAGTGGCTTATGTGCGAACCACTACTAACACAAGCGTTTCATGCTTACCAGGAGTGGTTAAAAGGAATATTAATAATGTTAATTAATAAGATTACTAATATTTTATTTAAAAAAAATATTAAAGTTCAATTAAAGAAAAAATCGCAAATTCGAAAGTTTGAAAATGTCGCGATTAATCGAAAATCGATCTTTTAATCCTCGATTTAATCGATAATCGATTCTAGTGTTTTCGATTCAAATCGATTCAGAGATCGATTTTTTTAACAGTGAATCGACATGCCTACATTGCAGTATAGCCATGTCGATCTAAAACTACATATTTATTTATCTATGATCTAAAATCGATTTATCGAAAAATCGATTCTTTGGAGCAAAATAATCGATTTTAGATCGATTCGGAGCACCGCATCGATTCACTGAATCGATCCAAAAACCTCTCGAATCGGACCGATTCATCTGATTCTAGAACCAGCGATAAAATTCCCAAACTGGTTGGGGTAAGATTCCGCAGTTTTTTAATTTTTTGCTGTTGGGGGACGCAAAAACAACGGATCTTACTTGGTAGATAATTTGAACGCAATATACAACACGTAACATAATTAACGCATTTTGAAAAAGTAGTCTGTTCAGAATTGTTTACTGAATCGATTCCTATCATTTTAATATAGGTAATTTTTATCCCAAAAATAATTACAACTACGTAAATTACAGTCACACTAAATCTGTACAGTCAAACAAATTGAAATGGACCGTAACTTAAGGAAATAAGACTTTTAAGAGTGCAGTTTTATTTGTGTTATTACTAATTCTGTCCTTCAATAAAAATAAAGAAAAATGTACTTTATTTCAAGCACGTTAAAGCCTTTGCGTTCGTGGAATTGTACCGTGACCACATTCTTCCGGAATTAGTATAACTAACCTTTCAGCTGCGGAGACTCTAACCGTAATACTCCGTTGACTGCGGAGCTGTTTAATAAAATGGACGGTTGATTGGGCCCAATCCATTTAAACGCAAATATCTTGATTTTGGTATATCGAATACTATAATATGTATACATTTCTGAATTCTCTATGAAATTTCCTATAAACGAGTACATATATTTGATAAAGTTTTAAAGTAATTAGTATAACTAAATATAATATAACCAGCATGTTAGTTCTAAGATAGCAGTTTGCTTCATACATATTAAAAAACGATTTTACACATACTTAATAAGATAAAACACAAAATGAGATTACAAATAAGAAGGTTCCTTACCCAGCCATTTTTTTTAACACAATTCACCACACAATAAATATAAATTAATACAAAATAATTACAAACAACTTCGTTGTTTGCGCGCGTCAATCATGGCTGACTCAAGGAACGGACGATTTAAATAAAATATACTACTAAAGTGTATAAAGCTGTGAGGTTTTTATGCTAGCCTTTTTTATCCTGTACACATTGACATATGGTAGAATGAGTTAGAAATAGCACATAATGCTTTGTTTCTTCATTAAAAGAGCGGGTAAAAAAATGTCTAACACTTGGACGCCCGCAGTCAACGGAGATATTTTCGTGTCCAAGTCTTGGACATCCGCAGTTAAGAGGCTAATTTGATAAATAATCAGTGCATAAAAATGTTTAACTAAAATTCAGTGTATGTATTATGATTATAACATAATATACTAATTGGGGTGTCTGAGGGTGTGCGTTAATTACTTTACATATTGTGTATTTGAATAAAATAAATATTTATGAACGCATCCAACAATATCGAAAAGTTGTCATTTCATTTTCATTTCTAAAGGACAATGGGGAACTCCCAAACAAATTTTATGTGACCCTTTTTTTTGCATCTACAAATGCAAAATATGTAAAAATATGGAGTTTAAAATCCTGAACATTTTTTTCCTCGGTCATACTGCTGCAGGAAGTCAGAAATTAAAGATATTGCAGTTTGAACAAAATACACATCGGACTAGGCTGTATGGTATAATCGCTTTAATTGGCAAATCGTTATAACAACTAGTCAATATAATTTTCAT